CCCAGGCTCAGCGCCATACCCTCCTCCAGCTACTGCATCATCTTCTTGCTCCTCTGCCTGTTGCCACTTGTCTTTGGTCACCTGCATAAAAGAGATGGGCCACCCCTTGTAAGGACATCCAAGAGCTAAGTTCGCTGTACTTGGGGATACAGCTGCACTTGAAGCATATGGCCAGCCACTGGTAGGACAGATGTCTGGGACATGTCCCGTCACACCTGACACAGCAGCAGGTCGGGGGCTACCACATTCTCCAGCCATAGCATCAGCCATCCCTAACTCTAACACCTTGCCTCAGGCTCAGTCCTCACTACTCTGAAGCCAAAGGTTACAGGGAAAAGCCACACCATTGCTCTACATTCTTCCTAGCCACCCCTTCCTTCCCTCTCTCTGACCTCTGTTCCAGCTCCCAAAGCCCTTTATAGATGGTAATTCATTGTGCCCATCACAAGATGGGAGGACTGATGTTTACCTGCAATCCTGGCCTTGCTGCCATGCAGGCAACTCAGAACTCGTGTCCTTTGGCAATTGCCTCAGTTTCCCCACCTGACCTCCAGCCCCTATCTTAACCTAGATGAGGGCTTCTGAAGCCTACTTCTAAAGCTGTGCACACTGGGGCTGGGCTGCAGTTCACACTTCTTGGCAGGAGGCAGACAAGAACTGAGTACCCAGGATCACGGCACGAGAACAATCATTCTCCTGAAGCATGGTTCACTCCACACTCCCTGCATCCCCTTCACTCACGCTGCTTATTTTGAATCTAGACAGTTATCAACAGTGTGAGACCTTCCCCAACCCTTTTCATTCAGCACTCAGCCAACAAGCATGGCAGCGGAACACAATGGCCTAAAATAACGTTATTCTCAGTTGAGAGTAGTGGCATATGCCTTTGAATCTGGTATTCAGAAGGCAGAGGCAGGTGGATCTCTGTGAGTTTGAGGCCAGCCTGGTATATATAGAGTTTCAAGGAGATCAGTGCTATGCAGAAAGAGACTCTATCTCAAAAAAAAAAAAAATCAAACTTATTTTTATCAAAAGCAATGTGTAGCTCAGAGAAATGCCCAGTTATTCAAATATCCATGGGTGTGCCACCCTGCCTGGGTGTCAGCCCTGGAGATGGAACCACAGACAAAACTATTCACTTAAAGGGAACCAAAGGAGGGGATGGAGCGGTGGCTCAGTGGTTAAGAGCACTACCCGCTCTTCCAGAGGGCCTGAGTTTGGTTCCCAGCAATCACATGGTGGCTCACAACCACCTATAATAAGATCTGGTGGTCTTTTCTGACCTGCAGGCAGACATGCGGACAGAACACTGTATATATAATAAATAAATAAATCTAAAAGAAAAAAGGGAGGGGAAACAAAGGAGCTGGGCATGGTGGCACTATCCTTTAATTCCAGCACTCAGGAGGTAGAGGGCAGGCAGGTGGCTTTCTGAGAGTTCAAGGCCAGCCTTAAACTGTGTACACAACAGAGTAACAGATCATAGCAGAGAGACCCTGTCTCTAAGTCAGAGAGAGAGAGAGAGAGAGAGAGAGAGAGAGAGAGAGAGAGGTAGTGGGCAGTGGAAGTGGCAGGCAGTACTTAGTCGGGAGAACTAGACCAGTGTTACTAAGTAGGGCAAGCAAGTGTTTACGAAGGAAACAGACACCATCTGTGCCAGGATTGCCAGGGCCAGCCTCTGGGCCCACACTAAGATCTTCTGGTTCATTCTTAGCGTGAATTTGTGATAGTATCAGAAATGTAGGTGAATGTTGCCAACTGTAAGGCCTGGTGAACACTGGCCGGGGGCAACACAGATTAGAGGGAATTAACAAGCACATACATGTGCTCTGGTTTTAGCAATGACCCCTCAAGAGCAACCACCTTCCATGCTGATTTCCTCCTTAGGTCACCAGACACATAGGGAAAGGGGACCACCTCTAAATTCAGGGCAGAGCCCAGCCCCCCAGGGTGTGAGACGCTGGGCCACATGGTTCCCTCCCAGAAGCAGAGTAGAGGGCCGTTCCTCCACTCCACTGGGGCTTCAACAGCTCCTAGAGGGGCAAACCCAGAAAACACAAAAGCCTGAACTCCCACCCCCAATCACTAGGGGAAAAGGGTTGAATTCCTGGCATCAGATTGGAAGCAGCACTAAGCCTGGAGGATTTCAAATTTACTGCTCCTGAGAGCCTGAACCAGCTAGCTGCTCATGCACCCATGGGCACTGGGCTTTAAGGTATTCAGGGGATGAGTTTTTCCCATAAACATTTTTTCTTGCATTGAGTGCTGGATTTAGAAGCAATTCTCAAGCACATATAAGAGAGTCCATGCACCCTTTCCCTCAAAATGCTTCCCAGTCCTATGAGCCTGAGTCTGCACCACACAGGGGTGCTTTGCTAGTGTGAATAAGACATGCCATGAGGTCACGGGGCCAAAGAAAATGAGGAGAATGATATACCTGCCACATCAAAGCACCTTCATGTGCCTCCTGGCTCAAAGGAAGACAGCCCTCGCTCCCTAGGATTCCCTCTTCTCATCATCTCCCCAGCCAGGAGGGAGTTCAGAGGGAGAGCCCGAGCAGATGTAATAGGCAACCGCTCGCTCTTAGTGTTTAGCTGCATCTGAGGTAAGTTCCAGATAGAAACCCTTGGGGATCAAACCCACATCTCTAGGATCTAAAATAAAACAAGCTGCGACAGGGAGAAAAACCTGCCTCCTCCAGGAAGCGCTCATGGCTCTCCCCCCTATGCCTCCAATCAGAGGCTTTGAATCAAGCCCGGAGGGGGATAAGGATGCCTAAATGATTTTACTTAAACAGACAATCCCTGAAAAGCCTGTGTTCCCCCACCCCACAAGGAATCCACCTGAGACCAATGTTAGATCTGGGGTTTGCTTATTTCCAAGGACAAATCCTGAGGGACGGCTGAGTTTAGACTCTGTTAAGCCAGGGTCAGAAAGGAAGGCAAGGCTGTCTCAGCACAGAGAAAGAGGAGAAAGGGAAACTGGAGGAGGCGAGGAGAAAAGGGAAGGGATTTACTGAGGGTAGAGGGAGAGGCACAAATGACAGGCGAAGAAAAGGGGAAGAGAGGCCGGAAAAAGCTGGCAGGAGCAGAGGAGCAAGGAGGAAAGAGGCCAGAGGGAGGAACTCATTCTGTCCACGCCAATGTCAAGAAAGTTCAATGAGGGTCCTGACATTTCCTTCCACCAAATACTGGCCCCTCTTGTCCTTGGGGATCTGGAGACGGAAACAGCTCACGAGGCTGACTCGCCAGCATGCTGTTACACAAGCTCAAATGGTGCCAATGTTTTTATATAATCCTCTGGTTCACCCCATAAAACAGACCATAACACCCTGGCAAATACACTTCAATAAAGCTCCGTGCTATTACAGGGCCCAGCGTCTTCCAGAAGATGAATCACACTGCCAGTGTGGCCAAGCTACCGCTCCAACTCAACTTTCTTCCACTGTGCCTTCAGCTGACGGAGAAGCCACAGAACTGGTAAGGACTGCCGTGAGTTCCAGAAGTTCCGTGGGTGGTGAAAAAGCCCTTGGGAAGTTGGGGCTTCATTATCATGAGGATGCATGAGCTGCCTGTATCCCCAGATGGCACCTGGTCCCTCTAGGTTGTGCTCAGAGGTATGCCTGGAATCCAGTTCTCTAGGGAGTCCCCAGGTGACACCTTTCACAGCAAACAGGCGACTTATGACCTGAGCCCTGCTGAAGATGCTTTATCACTTGCAGAAAGAGGTTTGCTGGGGCTGCTTCTGCCAAGAGCCACACAAAATAGCAGAAGCCTGCTGGAGATGCAGGCTTGCACCAACTGTCTCTTTCCTGAAACCTAACAGAGCTGTCCTTGGGGACAAAGATGGTGTATTCATCTTGCACCCAACATCTAATTAGTTGAGTCCCAACAGTAACCCCCATCTACTGTGTCCCAGCTGAGTCCCCCCTTTCCTCATGGAAAGCAAAGAGGCCAGCCACCAGAAGCAGACACTTTCATGCCTCAGGGGTTCCCAGGCACTGACCTCAGTCCATGTGAGCACTTAGCTCCTACACATCACTGCCAGACACTTGATTCCATCTGTCCACACAGCACCAATGGTGTCTTACACTTCTCCCACAATAAAACTTTCTGCAGGTTCCCTGAGCATCCTTGAATGAGGGCTATCCAGGCCAGAGGTCACAACTTCAGTGGGCGGAAACCCTTTGGGCCCTGCAGTGAGGAAGATGGGATCAGCCACTGTAGAGAAGAGCAGCCACCCCTCCTGCCATTCCTCCAGGGAGGGAAGAGGGAACCAACCTAAACGCACAGCTTGGAATGATTCCCTGGGTTCTTGCTGTGGACCCAAGTGTCACCTCCACTCTCACAGCTTTGCAAGGTACCCCTGGTCCCTGGTTGTGAATCTAGGCACTGTCTGAATGTCTCACTGTGGATCTAGGCATTGTCTGAGCCCCTCACTGCCCTCCTGGCAGCTCCTTGGAGGCTCTTCCTTGAAAAGTTCAACTTCTCTTGGGTAGTAAGTTTGGAGTCATTGTGGGAGAGGCAGGGGACGGTTCCACAGGATGAGTGGATGGTGCAGTCACTATATCACTGTCCTCTGTCAATGAAGGCCTCCAAGCCTCCCTTTTACCTCCTGCATTCCCTCCACAGGACCCAAAGTAGCTTCTACCCTGGACCCTGGAAGATACTGTGGGGTGGGTGTGAGCAGCCACTCCTGGACACAGTAATGTTCTGACACAGGACCCTTCCTCCCGTCCATCCCGGGGTACCCGTGGCTCACCATTTAGCTGATTGTAGACCACCTCCTCCAAATGGTCCAAGCGCTGCAGGATGGCCTCGCGATCGGCCAGAGCACTCGCCTTGGAGAGCCGATTGCGCATCCGGCGGTCCGTGCCTCGCACGACCTGCACCAGCGCCTCTGAACGATCCTGAAGGCGGCAGTACACAGAGAAGAGAATGATGCCCACGAACACCAGGATGTTGACCGTCAGCAAAGTTTTGATCTTCCTGGCCACCGCCATGAGCGCGGCTCAGACCGGGCCGCCTCACCCTCCGGGCATCCCCGGGGCTCCGGGGCCGCACGAGCCTGAGCGCGACTGGCCGCGACGAGGACCATGGGCCGGGGAAGGCCGGGAGCTGTTCCTTCAGCACCGCCACGCGGGCTCCACGCGCCAGGCTGCCGCGACCCGACCTTCTTCTCCAGAGCGCAGAAACCTCCCGGGGCTGCGGGCACAGGGCACCGCCCGCGTAGTCAGCAGGGCCCGCCCCCCAGGAGCTTCCTGGGCCAGGAGGCGGCGCGAGGCCTTGGCTGCTGCGTCCCTCTCCTGCGCGCCCCGCTCGCTCCTGCGCGCCCCGCTGGCTCCTGCGCGCCCAGCTCCTGCGCGCCCCGAAACCACGGCGCCGGTGCGCAGTGACGCGGCCTGCGCTCATCAACATGCACGCGGCGCCTGCAGCCCCGCCCGCCATCCCAAACCGATCCCGCGCGCCACCCCTGGCCAGGATAGGCCCGCCAGGAGCGAGGCTCAGAGCGTCGCGCCACGCAGAACCTCGGACCTCCCTCCACACCCCGGGCGTATCTCAGGGGATAAAACACACACTTGACCCCTAGTGACACAGAACCTTAGGGAACGCTGGTCAGGACTGTGCTGTAGGTGCACACTGGGGTGTGGTGGGGTGTCTTTGTGCGCAAAGGAGTGAGTCAGAGCCACCTTGATTTGCCTATGGCCAAACCTAATCTGATTGGCCGCCTTCCTCTGGTACCAGGGATAAGAAAGGAGGAGGCTGGAAACGGAGCAATCCTATTGCAACACAGGACCAAATAAAAGAAAACAAATCTTGACCAGGCTTCCCAAGTCCTCAGAGCTCAGGTGCACCCTCGGCCAGAAGAAAAACAACAACAAACACCTGCCTTTCCATCTCTAATTTAGCCCCAAACAAGCAGCTATAGATAAGACCACTGGAATCAGAGGAGAGATGACAGAAATCACACAGCATGGGTTGTTAACCGGGATCACAGAATGCGAGCTCCTGTATGCTTGGTTACCACTGTATGGACAGTGCCTGAAAGATTTCTGACATGTAGCTGGTGCTTAGCAAATATTTACTGAATGAATAAATGATGGAGCATTTATTACGAACTGACTTTGTGGTGGGTCTTTCCCATAGAAAGACAAGGCCTCTAGGACTTTGTAGCTCTTGATTCTGCATATGAGTATTTGTGCATGCATGTATCTGTTGTGTCTGCATGCATGTTTATATGTCTGCTGGGTGTGTGCATATGCCCATGTGTCTATGTATGTACCTTTGTTTGTGCATAGGTATGCATATGTGTTCATGTATGTGTACTTGTTTGTGTACACGTGTTTCTATGTTCATGAGTCTCCTTTGTGAATGTGCACATGAACAAAGGGTGTATAACATATCTCTGTGTATTGCACATGTTTGTGCATATATGTGGTGTCTTCATGGTGTATATGCACACGGGTAATATGTGATGTGTCTGCATGTATATATTGTGTGTGTGTGTGTGCGTGCACATGCTGTGTCCTTATGATTATGCTTGTGTGTAATGTGTATGTGATGTGTGTGTTTGTACACACCTATGTGTTCATGTGTGTGCAGTTTCTGTGTATGTATGTATGTGTTGTGTCTTCTACGTGTGAGTGCCCACATTCAGGGGGAGTGGGCAGAGGCTCTGGGTCCTGGTTCAGGCTCTTTCCTCCACACTGCCTTTTCCACAGGGCAGTGTATCCTGTGTAACTTGGAGACATTCTAACTCTCCATGGAAGTAGCAGTGATGAAAGTCACACTGCTTCTTTCCTGAATAAACTTTCCTTCCTTTCACAGAAAATATGCCTCAGGGACTCAGAGGACACTGTCAGGAAGGCCCCAACACCTAGGACTGAGGCCAGCACTCCACAGTCACTCACTCTAGACATCATGCCTACCAAGATGGAGCCTAACACACCTCACACTTCAGAGTGACTCACAGACACTGGTCTTTTTCATAAATTGTCACCCCATGTCCCTCATTTGACATAATGTGCTGTTCTGTGTGTAACACACCAGGGTCTGGATATTTACAAGTTTACAAGGGCAGCCTTTGAACCACAGAGCAGAACTCACCCAGCTCTGAGTATAGGCACTGTTCGGAGGCTACTGAAAGGCTCTTTCTTTCTTTCTTTCTTTCTTTTTAATTTTCAAGACATGGTTTCTCCGTAGCTTTAGGTTCCTGTCCTGGAACTAGCTCTTGTAGACCAGGCTGGCCTCAAACCCACAGAGATCCGCCTGCCTCTGCCTCCCGAGTGCAGGGATTAAAGGCGTGCGCCACCACCGCCCAGCCTGAAAGGCTATTTCTAACATTAACTGAATGGGGGTAGAAATGGTGTAGCCTAACTTTCTACCAGAGGAAACTGAGGCTCCAAGGAGATGTATCTGTGCCCAAGGTCATGCTGGCAGGGAATCCTTGGTCTGGATTTAAGCCCAGACAACTTGGCTCCAGAATCAAATTTATTAGCCACTGATATTCAAATAAAAAAAAATGAAAAACATTTCATTATATGTTTATAGAAAGTGATATGAATGCTGTTCGTGTAAATGCTGAGCAGCAGGTCCTGAGTCAGTATTTGGCTGAATTCCATTGACAGTGTGAGTGTAGGGAACCTGGGGGTAAAAGGAGACTAGTTTGAAGGGCCTGCCTGGGTTTGTTGACTTTGGAAGAGATGCTGAGTGCTTAGTGTGGAATGCAGCCTGGGGTCACAGGCCATGCAAAGGCTGCACTGTTGGGGAGCAGGGAGACCTGTTTGAGACATAATGCCTGAAATTGCAATTGTCCCCCAGTGCCCTCTTCCACTGTCTCCCATAATACCAACTCTGTCCTTGGTAGCCTTGACTCAGTAAGCAATGCTTCCTGAGTTCCCAGGTCTCTGTGGGCCACAGTGACTATTGCACATGGAGACATCACCTGGAGAATCCCAACAGTCACTCTCTGGGCACAGGCTGCAGGGAAAAGGACAGTAGGAGTGCAGGGTGCACTCAGAGAGACAGTGGGGTCATCCTTCAGGGAGTTGGGGCACTGTGGAGTGCCTGACCTCAGACATCTCCCACAATTTTGCACTGGATACCTCTCGGCAGGGCAGCTCTCTCCTGAGCCACACACAGAAGCTGAACCACTAGCTCAGCTCTTGTAGGTCATGGAGAGCAAAGAGTTCCCACTCAGTTTGCCCACGCCACACCTATGACAGACCAGAGCTAACATGGGAATGTAGTCTGCTTCTGTCAGTTCTTCCACCGGTGTTTACAAGCCTATATTCCACGTGACTATCTCTAGACTTAAAGACCAACACTATAAGGGCGCCTTGGGGCCGCACTCCCACCAAGCTTCCCATGGGCTTGTGCTTGCTTTGGTGGTATTTTCCTGAGGTTTGGCAGAAGGAGATGTGCGAACATAAGCTGAGACCCCCGACTTAGGCCAGATGTCACGTGGGTCATGGAGGATTCTGTGCAACTCAGGTGAGGCAGGAGCTCCAGGCTGGGTTCCACATTTGCCACAGACCCTGTCACAACTGAGCGCCACCCAGAGAAACCCTTTATCTTTCCCAACAAAGCTGCCCTTTCTCCCAAGAAGAGGCTGAGATGGGAAGGAAGCTACTAACTCCACTGAGAATTGCCCCCAAACACTCACAGGCCAACCTACATGGGCCACGGGAAAGCAGTGTTTTAGGCCTGTGGGTGGATTCAGAACGCAGAGGGGTCTTGGCTAATTCAGCTGGGGATGTGTGTCAGCACTCTGTACCTGTGGTGTGTGGGTGGTTGCAAAACCTAGTCAGGTGGGCTGACCATATGTAGAAAGACAACTTATGCGTCCCAGGGGCCCCCTTCTGCTACTAGAGCAGCCACGCACCCAGGCTTGAGGTCAGTACTGATATTCATTAGTATATTAGCATACCAGATTAGCTAATAGGTACTAAAAATGTGTCACTAGACAGAAATACAGGGTCACATATGGCAGGTTAATGAAAAGACCATACCAGAGGCTTGAAGGAGCCTGTGTTTCCACCAGATCAATCATCTCATGTGCATGACAGAGATGACTCCTGAGGATTCTGAGAACACCCCCACACAGACACACACCTAAGGACCCTGCCCCCATCACTTCAGCTCCTGGATCCAGATATGCCTAGAGCTCTCCACTCATCGCACAACTTCTGGTTTTATATAAATCAATATATTTCCTCTTTTGATTAATCCGGTTTGGGCTTAGTTTCTGCTGTTTACTAATAAAATCTGCCTTACTAACTCCAAATCCAATTTAGCCAGAATGTCAGCAGAAGGCGGAAGGTAGAGGGAGGGAATCTTTCTTCTGAGATCTCCCCAGGCATCAGAGAAGGACTTTCATGGACTTTGCAAGGATTATAAGGCCCACTGCCTAGGCTGGGCCATATTGGGACACTGAGAATAGCAGAGTACCGACAGGCTAAGCCGGCTCTCCCAGGCCATCTTTCTCTATCTGCACAATGATATTCACATTGCCTCCCTCCATCTCCCCTCCTGGTAGTAATCTTTTCAACTCTGGTTTCTTCACAGAACTCCCCACAGATAAGCCACAAAGCACAGTTATCGTAAGGAAGATTCATAGTTGGACTGTATATGTGTGGTGCTCTTAGACACTGCACCCGGTGCCGTCTTTTCATTTTATTTAGTACCTAGGAGCAAGCTGGTCCCGAATCACATTTATGCATTCTTCATAAATCAGCTGTCTTGGAGCAGCAGCACCTGCCTCGGTGTCCTTGACTTGCTCTTTGAGTGGGTAGCGAGTGCCTGAGACAACATGCCCACTTCAGAGTTCCGCTCTCATGCAGTGATCAGGGGTGTCTGGGAGAAGGAGCTTTGGTGAACAGGAATTTCTGGCTAACATCTTCACCTACGGGTTACAGGATTCTCTCACTGTCTGCATCCACATGGCTCAGATGTAGCATCCTAGAGTTGGTAGCTTCCTGTGAAGTTCATGGGGACTGGCCCTGAAAGTCAACATCTTTCTCTGCACTTGAAGGACCCAGGTACTATGGTTCACCATCCAGGGCTGCTCTCCAGCATCAGATTCCAGCCCCTGAGGCACGATGCACTCACTGTGTGCGACATGCCTGTTTATAGAGAAGTACAAGTCTTTGAATTTCATAATCAATTTACTGTGTCTTGTAGCTCTCAGAGAGGCCTGAGTATCTTCCTAGGAACAGATGTGGGAGTAGAAACCTAAGGCCTGTGTTCCACACTGGGGACAGAGGGATCACACCCCTGTACCTTGCCCCTTATTAGGAACTAAGGGACAGGCCAGGGACCAGGTGACCAACTGTGCCCTGACAGTGATTCTGGCATTTGTGTAGAAACAGGATTGTGTCATGGATGCTGGACCCTTCCCTGGCTGGGACAAAGGGTCACCAGACTACCAGACCATCTGCACACGTGGGCTACACAGTGAGTTTGAAGACAGCTCAGCTACATGGGAACCTGTGTGGAAGGAAAGAAGGAAGGGAAAGAAGAGAGGGGGAAATAAAAGAAGGAAGGGAGGGAGGAATTTAAAAAGGAGGAAGGAAAGGAGGAGA